AAGGTAACTATTAGCTACATTTGACATTGTAAGCTGGCCATTTCCTATTTGAGGGCAGACAGGCTGACAGGAAATATATGGACATTTTTTTCCTCCTGAGTTTCTTCCAATACTTCAATATAATGAATAATAATATTTAATATTACCCCATATAGGAAAAATATTATAATGAAAACCAATGACTTAAAACCATAGTTACATCTCTTCAAATTCAACCAAACGAACTAGAAACTATTTTGTAGGCGCTTTTGAATATATACATGTATGTTTACAAATATATATATGTATATCACTTATGCTTATGCAATGATGAATTGTGTTCAGATAAGTGTAAAATTATAATACCTTATGTTTAAGAAACTGTTTTCCTTTACTTTCATTTAATCGGCTGAAAAGATTGAAAGCAAAAGTTTAATTTTGATGATAAGACATTTTTGACATCAGCTATTATAAAGCTGCCACGAAAGTAAAACTTTTCCCCATTCAAAAGGATGCATTTAACATTTCTTGGTAGTAAACAGTTTAATCCATCAATGACATTTAAGAAATATACTGACTATTGTACAATAAGACAAATTGTATTTTATTTATCCACTTTTTTTCTCAGAAGAAATGTTTTCTTTCTTTTTATTAACTTCCATTTATGGTTGCTAACTGGAATTGGCAAAGAAATCCACAGTTTTTATTGAGCACATAGTACTCATTTATTTGTTACTTCACAAGACTGGATGTTGCAGATTTCCAAGAACTATATTTGGGAACTTGTTGATGACAAAGGCACAGAAGTTGCCTGCCCTTTATTGCTTTTGGTGTTAATTTTGCATATAAGAATAAAAGAAAGCAGGTAAAAATAATTGCAAATGAAAAATTATTGTCATGAGGGAAAGAGAGGCTATAAAAGAAGGGGAAATAAACACATTAAATAAGAATGTCAAGAAAGGCTCTCTGAACCATAAATAAAGAGGAATTAAGCATGTGACAGACTGGGGGAAATACTAAATTAGAAAGAACAGCACATAAAGAGATCAAAGTAGAATTAAACAAAACTTTTTAATGATTGAACAAGCAATAATGCGAAAAGAATGTTACTAGGAAAGAGAGACTGGCATTGCACACAGTGAGCATACTATGAAGGACATTGATTTTCCAGGGCTTTGCAGATCACTGAACCCGAACGCACTGCCATCAAGTCAATGAGCACCCATAGAGACTCTGCAGGATAGGGTAGAATGGCCCATGTGAGTTTCCAAGACTGTAACTCTTTATGGGAATGTTGCTTAACCAATCCGCCACCAGGGGTCTGCTGGCCACTGGAAGAAGTTTGGATTCCTTTTGTCCTCCCTCACCCCAATAGAAGCCACTGAAGGAGCTTAAGGGGTTTAGCATAAGCATAACGAATTATTTTAACAGAAACATTTTTGTTATTGTATGGAGAATTAGAGGATTATGAGGACAGAAAGATGCAGAATTCTGCAGTCATTAAGGTCAATTCAAGCCCTAAATCATGATGACAGAATGTTGGCAGTGCAGAATGAATGAGAAGAGCATATTAAAAAAATAGAATTGACATAAATCTGCCATGGGCACTCAGTGTGTCTAAAGGTTGGGGAAAATTGAGGAAACCAAGGGAGTCATTTAAGTATATGATGTGAAAATATTCAATGTGTGTCTATTTAGTGAGCTGAGGAGATGGGGATTTGATGGTCATTTTGAAGGAAACATTTTTTAACTTGGGCTATATGTTTCTGAAAAGACTTTTGGCACATCAAAGTGAAGACATTCAAAGATAGTCACATGGAAATATGAAGATCACCGAGATGTTCATCAGTCAAAATATAATATATAAATCTGTGAGAATTTATTATTTTGGTAGAAAAGAAAGAGAAGAAAAGAGAGGCCAGGGTTGAGCACTGGACAGTTTGAAGTATCAAGATAAAGTGATAGAAAATAAGAAGTCAATGAAGGGGCCAGAGATAAATAAGTGATGAAGAAACCGAACCTAAAAAGGGAGGTGCTATAAAATTAAAAGAACAACAAATGAGCAAAGAAAACAGGAATGTTTTAAGAAACTGCTGGGAAAAAGAAACTGAATGCGTTAATTAATGGCAAGGCATACGATGGTGAAAGGTGCACACAATAGATATTTCCATTTAGAAATATTTTTTAAACAATGCTTTAAGCCTGTTTCAAAAGGTGAAATGAACTGTGATTATAATTAAAAAACAACAACAACTAAGTATGGGACACTAATCCATATACACTGAAAAGCTGGAAGAAAAATGAGGTAATTACCTTCAATGATAAATAGTCTCATTCAAGAAGCCCAATAGTACATAAATCTTTTTAAAAAGAAGTTTAAACTTCATGGGAAATTTGTAACTTTTCTGATATTTTGGTGAACTTGATATTATAATAAGAACAGGAATTATTTTCCATCAGTATAAACATGGGTTGGTGGTTTAGTAAACTTTTCTACCAAAAGTTATGCTGCTGAATATATTATACACAGTATTATTACATTATAAAAGTATAATTTTATATAATAAAACATACTCACAGAAGG